GAATTCTACAAAAAAGTTGTCAACTACAAAATTGAAGCTCTAGTCTTGTTTAGTATTCTCTCGAACTTTCAAATTAAGGCTATAAGTTTGAAATGCGTTCTTCGGAAAATGACAAACGTATTTTGCCGCTTCGGAGGGGGTGGCGCAAAAAAAGAGGACCTCTTCCACGTGGCATATCTCTCCAGGGCTTAATTTCGTAAAAAAGTTGTCAACTACAAAAATAAAGCTATAGTCTTGTTTATTATAGACTGAAATTTTCACAAAAACTGAGAAAAGTCGAGTTACTACTGTAGGTCCTCAAAGTTGAAGACCTGAAAAAGTGCAAAATTCGAAAAGGTCAAGGTGTTTTTGTAGAAGATCGAATATTAGGCTAAAGTTACTTTTTATAGGCTCGAAGCCTTCTGTGTGTTGAGATTTTGGGTTAAAATATGAACGGTATCGCTACAGCTACACAGTCGCAAATTCTTACCTTTTACACTGAAAATTCGACCCCGGCGTCCGCACAAATCGATCCGAGTTCTCGTGATTCGGCTGATTCTCATAGATCTTTCGCGCCTTCTGCCTCGCATTCTGGAACCACACGACAATTACCCGTGGGCTCAACTGCAACTTCTTGCTCAACGCTTCCAAGTCATCATCTTTTGGATAGGCTTGCTTGTCAAAGAACTGCTGAAGCGTGCGTAGCTGGAAATCCGTGAATCGTGTTCGATTGGCTCTCCGACCACTAGAAGTTGTGTTACATGACGACGGGGTTGATGGATTGGTCATGGGGTTCGCGGCAGCGGCCATAAAAGTGGTTGGGTCGAAAAAGTTGTTTTGCATTTGAGAGAGCATTGCTTGGAGGTTGAGCTGAGAGGAAGAAGCTGATGAGGATTGGCTCTTGGTCTCTGGAATCTTCTCTGGAAGCTTCTTTTCCTCGACAACCAGTGGTAGGGGAAGCGTTGGTGTTGCTCGCGCAGAGCTCAATTCCGATTTAATTGGGGTTTCGCTGCTCAGAGAGTGCACTTTGGTCTCTCCAGTCTTCTCATAGACGTCGAGGTCGATGCCCATCTGAGGTGGAATGCTAAAGTTGTATGGGGAGTCTTTGTCGCGTTGGCGTTCCTGGAAAATTGTGATGTTTAGGAGTTTCTGGTGTTTCAGAAAGTCAGAATTCTTGAAATTCAGAAAATTCAAAATTTTTGAATTTTTGAAATTTATGGATTTTTGGAAATTAGATTTTTGAAAGGAATTCCAGTTTTTTTTTTAATTTTTCGAAAATTCCAGAATGTCAGAATTTCAGAATTTCAGAATTTCAGAATTTCTGAATTTCTGAATTTCTGAATTTCTGAATTTCAGAATTTCCAAATTTCAGAATTTTAGAATTCTCGAGTTTTCGAAAATGGAATTTCAGAAATTCGTTTTTTTTTGGAATTTTAGGATTTTTCGATTTTTCGAAAGTTCTACAGCTTTTTGGATTTTCAGAAATTTTGGGAATTCGAATTCGATTTTTCGAAAATTTAGAAATTCCAGAATTTCAAAATTTCAGAACTTCAGAATCCGAAAATCCGAAAATTCCAAAACTTTAAAGTTTCTCAAAATTTAAAATTTTCGAAAATCCTGAAATTTCAAAAAATATTCCATTCGAATTTCCAAAATTTCGAACTCTCGAATAGTCAAAACTTTCTAGAATTTTCGAAACTTCTGGTCCCCAATCTTTTCTATCGAATTATATTTTTTTTTCATTCCCATTAATGACTCAAAAATTATATATCATTTCCTGGTGTCCCAGGTACCCCCTGGTCCCCTCCCTTGACCTTTAAAGGCTCCCAATGTTTTCTCAATTTGCCCTTTCCTTGCCCTTTATTTGCCCATACACACACACTTATATATGTGTTGATGACTAATTACTGTCTCATTTCCGTCTCGTTTACATATACAAAAATAGGGGGAAAGTAATAAGAAAAATCAACAAACCTTGAAGAGTGTGTTGCGGAACCAATGCTTGATTACTTTCTCCGGAAGTCCCGACTTTTGGGACATTTCCTTGATTTGAGCCTCCGATGGGGAGTTGTTGATGTTGAAGTATTGTCTGAAAATGTAAGGAATTTCAGAGAATTCGAAAAATCCGGAATTTTGAATTTGGAAGGATCTTACTATTAGGCCAAATATGAAATTCGGAAAAGTTTCAAAAACCAAAAAAGCCTAATAATTTCAGATAGCTCCCAAATAAAAAAATCCAACAAATTTAAGAAGTTTCAAATTTTTCAGAAAATCTAAAATTAGATGTTTTCATGATAAGTCTAAAAGATAGACATTGAGATATTTCCACGGTATTCAGAGAAAGGAAAAAAACCCAGAAACCCAAGAATTTTAGAATTTTGGAAAATTTAGGTTTTCGGAAGATTCGAAAACTTCCGAAAGTTCAGATAATCTCAAAGTTCAGGAAATTCCTAGCATTCCTAGAATTCCAAAATTCAGATATTCCGATGACTTAGAAAATCCAAAAATTCTGAAATTCAGGATTTCCGAAAAATCTTAAAATTCCCAAAACCTGAAAATTATAGATCGCTCAAAGACTTCAATTTTCAGAATATCGAAGTATTCAAAAATGCAAAAGTTTCTAAAAAATTTTCCTAATTTCTAAATTCCTGAATTTCTGAATTTCTGAATTTCTAAATTTCTGAATTTCTGAATTTCTGAATTTCTGAATTTCTGAATTTCTGAATTTCTGAATTTCTGAACTTCTGAATTTCTGAATTTCTGAATTTCTAAACTTCCTGGGATTCCAAATTTCTGAATTTCTGAACTTCCTGGGATTCCAAATTTCTGAATTTCTGAATTTCTGAATTTCTGAACTTCCTGGGATTCCAAATTTCTGAATTTCTGAATTTCTGAAATTTCTGGGATTCCAAATTTCTCAATTTCTCAATTTTTTTTGCGAATTTGCTAATTCTCGGATTTTCCAAATTTTTACCCCCTTATTATAATCCATCCCACTTCCAACTGTTCTGTTGTTTTTTTCCTAGCGAAATTGATTGATTTTCATTGAAAAATCACCACACGAAATGTTTGTTCTTCATTCTCATTCTCTTTTCTCCCAATTTTCGCATTTTTCCATCACCTCCTCTTCTCTTCTCGGCCCACCTATTGTTTGCAATTCATTTTCATTGTCGCTGCCCTCCCACCCCCAACCGTAAAACTACAGTAATCTTCGGGAACGAAAAACGTTTTTCTTTTAGGACGATTTTTTTGGATCGGCTGAGCTAAATGGTTTTTGAATCTGTTTTTATCGAATTTGGAGTTTTACGAGCTTTTTATTAAAGTAAGAATCAAAACTGTAGCTCAACCACTAAGCGAGTTATGGACATTTTCTCTAGCTGAGCTACACGGCGACAACCTACCGATAGCGCGCAAAACAGCGAATAAGAACTCACCTCAAAACCTTTAACTGATCATCAGTGATCCTTGTCCTCGCTCGCTTCTGTGTGGAACTATTCCCAACGTTTGCAGCAGCAGCTGCAGCCGCCGCTGCAGCCGCCGGATTCATCAACTGATTCAACATCTCCGGTGAGAACCCAGAAAACGCACCAGCGGCTCCAGGAGGTGCCATGAATGGGAAGCAACTCATCATCTGTTGAAACATTGCGAATTGATTGGCAGCTGCGTTTGGATCAACGTTATGCTCCATCTTGATCTTCTTCTCCAGAGGCTCGTCATCATTGCTCTGTGGGCTCTGTGAGCCATCATTACTCTTGTTCTCCCGATTGATATGCTGTACGGCGACTAGAATCTTCTCACCGAACTTCCTAAGAACATCAGATGGGATTTTCGAGGAGTGAGATTCCTCGTAATGAAGGTTGAGGGCCAGGATTCCTACGATTTGCTGACCACAAACGCCACAATCGATTTTCGAAATTTCCAGTGCTTGCTGATCGTCAAACAGTGCAATGTTGTCGATTTTCCCATCTAATCCTGGGACCAAACTTGTGATTTTGGGTTCCCCATAGACTCTGATTTGTGTGAGCAATTGAAGACCATTCACTTCTTCTCGAACGTCATCAGATTCCGACCTAGTGAGCAGCGACATCAGGTCGTTGAGATTGGGTTGGGAGGAGGTCTGGAAATGGGGCAAAATTTGAATGATTGCGAAATGATTTGAGAAAGTGATCGTAAACATTTGGGAGGGGAGCCTAACGATAAATATAATTTTCGAGATGATGAATCATCATCTATGGGAAAGAAGAAACCATGGTCAACTAAATATCGTCCAAACGTTGAATTTAGTGTCAAAAATTAGGCGATTTCAAGAGTTCAAAAAGGTGGCTCTCTTTGGTTGGATTTGTCTGAAATTTGCAGAGTATACTAGACAAGACTAGAGCTTCATTTTTGTAGTTGACAACTTTTTGGTAAAATTTCAGTCTGATGAGTTATTCGACATGGAAGAGGCCAACCTTTCCCCCCTCCTTTCTGTTTTTGGCGCACCCACCCCCTCCCCCCTCAAAGGGGGTGGAGAGGTGGCGCCAAAAAAAGAAGGTCTTTTCCACGTGGCATATCTCTTTAGGCTCAAAAGTTACACAAAGCTTTCAACTACGAAATTGAAGCTCTTGTTTTGTTCTATATTCTCTGAAATTTCCAAACTAATTCAATAAGTTTGAAGTGTTTTCTAGCTTGTCAGAAAATATGAGGGGAAGGATAGTGCCAAAAAAGAAGGGTCTCTTCCAGGTGATGTATCACCCCAGGCGTAAATCCTACAAAAAAGTTGTCAACTACAAAAATGAAGCCCTTGTTTTGTAATCTCGAAAAGTTACAAACAAATTGGATAAGCTGAACTTATTTTTCAGACGCTCAAAATCGATGATTTTGATCTGAATTTAGACAAAAATAGGATCAAGGGATATTTACGGATCTAAAAGCTTCAAGTTTTGTGTTTTCGACTCACCGTCTCAATGAAGCTCTGAATGGTCTGCGCAGGTATACCCGGTTGCTCGAAGACGGGCTTCTCTGGGTTCAGATCTCCGTTGGCGACCAATTCGGCCAGCCGACCCATCCGACTTTGATGTGTCACTGATCGCATGTGTACGTCGAGATTAGCCGCTTGTGGATACGACTGTTTGCAGACGTTACACACATAAACTCGTTGCTTTTCGGAAGATGTGGGGTCCTGGAATTAAGGGGAAATTGGTGAATTGAGTTTAGCAGTTTTTTGGAAATTCAAGGAGTTTTGATATTCAGAGTTTTTCTGTAATTCCCAATTTTTCGAATTTTTAAAATTTCTGAAAATTGCTGAGGTTTGAAAATCGGGAAATTTTGAAATCTGGAAGAAGTCTGAAAATATAAAATTTGAGCTTCTGGTTTTTAGATTTTCAGGAAGAAACTGAAAATCTGAATTTCAAGAATTCCGAATTTATATGGTTTTATTCATTTTTTCTGAGATTTCTAAATTTCGCAAATTCAGGATTTTTTTTTAGTTTTGGGATTTCAGGAATTTTTGGAATTCTCGGATTTTTTGCCGAATTTCGGAGATTTTGGGGGAATTTCAGAATTTACATGATTTCCTAGAATTTTCTAAAATTCTCCATCAGTAAGTCCTTGGAGTTTTTGAGTTTTTTAAAAACTTTGCTGGGTTTCCTAAACTTCCGACCCATCATAGGATTTCGAACATTTTGAGAATCTTGAAAATCTAGAAAATTGAAAATTTGAGGATCTATAACTTGTTATGTTTGATCCTCCTGATCTACTGAAGCTCCCGATCTACCGATTTCCCAATTTTCCAAAAATTTCAAAAAATCAACAAATCCCAAAAAAAAATCCCGATCCCCCAATTCTCATCCCTATCACCTTTCCCCCTAAAACTATGTTTAGTCAGACAGGTACAAACATACACACAAAATCGTCTTATTCTTCTTATAAATTCATTTTCCATCATCATCACCGTCTCTCTCTCTCTCTTCCCCTTTACTATTTGCCCTCATCTATTTCACACGAATCCTATATTTGTTTGCCGACATCTATTGCACACCGTCCCCTTCTTCCTCCATATAATTTCTTCTTCTTCTCCTTTTCTTGGTGATGATGATGAGGCAAAAAGGTGTATGTGTTGTTAGTACAAACAAGGCGCGAAAATGCGCCTCGCCAATTGATTATTAGGGGTGAGACTACGGTAATTGAGAATTTAGAGATGAGCAAACAAGGCGGGCGGTAAAGACAAGGAGAGACACTGTGTTGTTGACTTTCAATCGGCAAAATCTTGATTGCTCATATTGTAATACATACTTGAGAAGTGTTATTAGTTATTATTGACGGAAGGGCCTTCCTTAGCTTTGAGCCAAATTGGGAATTCAGGAACTTTCAACTTTGACCCAATTTATCTCGGCCCCTGTGATAGATATCAATAAGTTGTCTACTGAGAAAATGTTTTTCATAATATCAGCAACATTTTATAAGTTGATCACTTTTCGATATCTTTTATAGGAACCGAGATGAAAAGGGTTAAAAGTGATGGGTCCTTTTTTCAGTCGGCAAGCTTGGAACCCCCACCAGCTTTGACCTAATTTATCTGTGAAAGGTATCAAAATTTTGTTAACTAATAAAATATTTCTGATAATGTGATAAACATTTTATCAGTTGAAAACTTTTTGATATCTTTTATAAGAACTGAAATAAATGGGGTCAAAGTTCGGAGGACCCTTTTTTCTAGCCAATATGTCCAGATGTCCGCTGAATTGAGTATTTTAAAAAATCCCAGTTTTTTTTTTCAAAATTCCAAAATCAAAAGCTCTCAAACACATTTTTTTTAAATAACAGAAAAAGCCACTCTCATAAAAATTTCCAATAAGATTTTTCGATTCCATGAGAAGCAGCCCATTTCATTTCATCCCAAAAAATATATCATTTGAAAATTTTTTTCACTGTTTGTGTAATAATTTTAGTGTCATCATATAATATAAATCTATATGATTTTTTTTGCTGTTTGTCGGCACCCCACCCTGCTTCTTGGAGAAGCGGCCGGTGGTGCTAAAGCAAATCAATTACGAAATGGGTATACTGTAATTGCAAAAAGAGACGCAGAGAACAAAAACTAGGGGAGATAGCAAGAAGTTGTCAAAAGTGGAACTTTTGAAATTTCTTATATTTTTTTAGTTGACAAAATTTTCAGAACTCAATTAGTTTTCGAGAAATGAGATCTCATTGATAAGGACCCCGAAACTTTGACCCATTTTCGATACTTCAGCTTTGTGGACCTGCAGTAGTTACTAAAATTTTATTCAATTTTTTCGAAAGTTTCAGAGAATACTGAACAAAACTAGTGCTCCAATTTTGTAGTTGACAACTTTACTGTGAATTCAATGCCTGACGAGATAGGCTAGGTGGAAGGGACCCATCTTTTTTGGCGCCCATGCCCTATTACTAAAGCGGAGGGGGGGGGGGGGGGCTATTTCCAACAATTTCCTAGTTGACAAAGCTTTTAAAGCTTTATTAGTTTACAAGCTATAAACTCCTAAAGATAAGGGACCCCTACCTACCTGCGAATTAAGGTCCACCATTGTGCTTTCCAACTGTTTTTTGGCTTGCTGCAGATGACGTGCCGAATTCAGATGAGATAGAAAAGCTTCTTTTGATGGAAACGTTTCCGAGCACATTTCACATTCTTCTTTTGTGTGTTCCAGCATATGGGTCTGGAATTTAGAAGTAGAGATTTCTAGAAATCTACGAAGATTGATTTTCTAGATTACTAGGTCCAAAAACTACGTTACAAGTAATTTAGAGATTCAGAAGTCGTTAAGTACGAATTTATCGATTTTAGCTGATCCCAAAAAAACTCACAACAATGTTGTTCTCATCAAATGAGTCGCCACACGTCGGACACTTGTGAAAACTTTGGAAGACGTGCTGAAGAGAGTGCGTCTGGAGTTGCGATTCGCTTCGGAACGCCATGGAGCACTTGGAGCACCGATGCGGGAATTCTGGCGACGGTTCAGATGACGTGGAGGCTTCTCTGGAAGACTTCAGGGTTTTAGGGAGTCTTGGCTGGATTAGAGGTTGAGGAAGTTGAAAAAATCTGGAAAGGTTGATTTTTTGAAGATTCTGACTCTATTAGAGGCTGAATTATCTTTAGAGATTTCAACTATTTCCAGTTGGAATCAAAGTTTCAAAAAATAAATTTTCAGCGAATTTCAGTCATTTTTGAAGGTTGGAAAATATGGTTCAAATTTGTCCAGCTCACTTGAAATTTTGAGAGGATACTTACAAAATATGAGCTTCATTTTTGTAGTTGACATCTTTTTTGTAAATTCAAGCCCTGGAGAGATATGCCACGTATAAAGGACCCTCCTTTTTTTTGGCGCCCTGCACCTACATTTGATGGGGCGCAAAAAAGGGGTTGGGGTAGGTAGTCCCAAGAAGGGTGGGTCTCTTCCACGTGGCATATCTCCCTAGGCTCGATTTTTACAAAAAAAAGTTGTCAACTACAAAATTAAAGTTCTAAATTTGTTTAGTATTCTCTGATAGTTTCAGACAAATTCAACAAAATCTGATAACCTTTTTAGGAAGTCAAAATATGGAAATTTTCATCTACTAAACTTTTTGGGTGTTACTGTATGAAGGATTTTCAATAGGACCAGCGAATCAAAAAATTTGTAGGAAGACAAATTAGAGAACCTTGAAACCTAGAAAAAGGGGTGATAAGGGACTGATATACATTTATCAAACTATCTGTTCTTGAGTTAGATGAAAATAAAAAATTGAAGGGGGAATATGAGTCAGGGGCCTCTTTTTCAATCACTTTCCTCATTCTTTTCTTTCTCTTTTCTCAAACCATTTACACTTTTTTTTTATTCTTGCACCACACAGAAATAATAGGAAAGGAGCAATAGAGAGAAATCGAAGAGGAATGAGGAGAGGAAAATCTTTTTCTGAGCGGAGAGGAGAAATGAAAAATTCAATTACGGGGAAAAAATTGGAGAAGGAAATCGGGGGGAGAGGGTGATAAGAAAAATGTTGATTAGAGGAAACTGAATGAGATTTAGGCCATTTTGGGAATTTTGAAAAATTCTGAGATTCAAAATTTCTGGAATTCAAGATCTTTGAAAGTTTAAGAATCCCTGAATTCTAGGTTTGAAGTTAAATTATTCAAAAAGACACAAGATCGAATTTACCGAATTTTTAAATTTTGTAGTATTTTCAGCGCTCTCGGAATAACTAGGACTCTTAGGTTCTTAGATTCTTAGCCCCCAAAACTTGCCCATACTGGCCGAGAAGAGAAGAGGTTAAGAACAAATTGTTGTAATGAGTGCGAGCAAATAAATAAGAGGAAATTGTTAATCGGAAAGAGTAGTGAGACCCCTCCTAGTTTAACATTCAATTATGATTCAGGATGGTACCCCCCCCCCCACCCCCCCAACCAAATTTTTAATGTCATCCCTTCACTAATGTATTTGGATGACGAAGCCCACCCCCTGCTGTGGAAATATTTTTATAATATGATATATATCGATGTTGATGATGCTGATGATGATGACACATTTTTACAGAAGAATAGTCAACATAGGCTTAACATGAATGTTTAAATACAGTCAAAAATTGAAAAAAGCTAATTTTGGTAAAAAATGTCAAAATGTGACTAATTTCAAGTGTTTGAAAAAGCAGTTAAAACTTGATCAATTTGTCTGAAAATTGTAGAGTAGACTAAACAAAATAAGAGCTTCATTTTTGTAGTTGACAACTTTTTTGTAAATTTTAAGCCTGGGGAGATATTCCACGTGGAAGGAAGCCACTCTTTTGGCGCCCGCGCCTACATTGGAGAGGGGGGGGGGCAAAAAAGGGCGTTGGGGTAGGTGGTCCCGAAAAGGGTGGGCTTCTTCCACGTGGTATATCTCTTCAAGGCCTGATTTTAGAGAAAAACCGTCCACTACAAAAATGAAGCTCTAGTTTTGTTTTATTATCTCTGGAATTTTCAGACAAAACATGCAAATTTGAAAGATGTTTCAAAACTCTGAAATCGGCACATTTTCAGCCTAGAAAAATTCGAAAATCTTAAAATTGGTATTCTCATTAAAACTGGCGCTTTTATATGAAACATGTCGTTTGTTCGAAAATGAATTGGTTTCAATTGTGTCCTTGTGTCTCTATTGAAATTCCGTGAGAATGGCGTAATGACCCGAAAGGTGGAGCGGCAGGCGAATTCGATACACCTCACTAATTATCCCCCCTAATTATTGGATCAGTTGGTGTAGGGGGCGGAAGACAATAGCATCGAAAATTCATGTTTTATATATATCGGAAAAGGTTATATATTGGAACCATAAGATGAATAATAGAACTAGTCTTACACTGAAATTCTAAATTTTTGTGAAAAATGGGCCAAATTTAGGGGTCTCAAAATGAAGTTCATATTGATTAGATACATTTGAAACTTTTTGGGGCTACCAAACAAAACTAGAGCTTTATTTTTGTAGTTGATCACTTTTTTGTAAAATCAGGCCCTGAGAGGATATGCCAAGTGGAAGAGCAGCGGCCTTCAGGAAAAGGGGCCGCCCCTTTGGCGCGCTGGGGACCCTTTCTTCCAAAAGGTCATATCTCCCTAGGCTTGAATTTTGCAGAACAGTTGTCAACTACAAAAATGAAGCTCTAGTTTTGTTTAGTATTTTCTGAAAATTTCAGACTAGTCCAAAGAGTTTGAAGCGCCTATTAGTGCGTCGGAAAACGAACAACGTCTTTTATCCCCAAAAAAGGAGGACCTCTTCCACGTGGCATATCTGCTCTGGGCCTGATTTTGCAAAAAAGTTGTTAACTACAAAATTGAAGCTCTATTTTTGTTTGGTATACTATAAAATTTTCAAAAAGATCCAACAAAATCTAAATGCTTTTGTAGGCGACCCAAAAAACCACCAAAAAAGTTTTAGTTTTACAACCTCAATTAATCAATACAAAAAGGTGTTTTGAGGGCTGGGAATGCGAAAGAATCTGTAGGAGAATTTAGAGCGAGTAAACAGAAGAACTAGGCGACGTGCATAAAATATGCAAAATCGCTCAACGATCCCTCCGCCATCCATCCTATTTGTGAAGAGAGAGACAGTACTAATTGCGGCGTGGGGGAAAAGTGAAAATAGTATATGAATCAAAGAGATTTCGAGAAAACAGCAACAAAATGAGGAATTAAACATGACTAAAACTAATTCTCGCGGGAGAGAGAGAGAGGTTGATTCTCCATCGACATCAGGTGAACCAGCTTTTCTAGAGAGATCATAAGAATCGGAGAGACGCAGAGAAACGGGGTTTTTCGTTTGCAAAACTTTACAGTAATGGGTTTCGTTGGGGCCGCACCTTGACACCCAGCAAGCATGATTTTATGATCGAGCATGATTTTATGACACGAGGAGAGAGCGGAAATTGTAAAGTATAACATTTCGTTGCGCAAATTTTTGTAGGTTCATCGGTGTGCAGGGCCAAAAATGGGCAATGTTTAGAGCGCTAAAAAACGCACTCCAAAATTTTCAGATTGGGCTAAAATTTTCAGAAGATATAAAACAAAAATAGAGCTTTATTTTTTTAGTTAACAACTTTTTTGTAAAATTAGGCCCTGGAGAGATATGCTACGTTGAAGGGACCAACCTATCTTGCAGCTTGAAGGACTAGCCCCCGCTCCCCCTTTTTTTGAGGTGGGCATGAAGGGGAGCGCCAAAAAAGAGGGTCTCTTCCACGCGGCATATCTCTTCAGGGCCTAATTTCACCAAAAAGTTGTCAACTACAAAAATAAAGCTCGGTTTTAGCTATATATTGTCTGGAAATTTCAAATCAATCGAACAAGTTTAAAGTGCGTTTTAGCGCGTTCGCCGCAAGAAGAGGGGTAGTGGCAAAAAAGATATGTCTTTTGCAGGTGTCATATCTCGCTAGGACTTAATTTTTCAAAAAAGTTGTCAACTACAAAAATGAAGCTCAATTTTAGATATATATTGTTTGAAAATTTCAAAACAATCGAACAAGTTTGAACAGTTCTGGAAAATGGCCAGTATCTTCCCATTTTCCAATGAAAAAAATTTAAAATCCAAAAAATTTTTTATCAAATTTTAGATCTAATTGAGCCCCAATTAAACCGAATTAACTCACTTCCCAGTCCTCTCTGCCAGTAGAAACTTCTCGATGGCACTTTCAGCGATTCGGTGCTGTTCGATGAGATGCTTCTCCAGATCGGACGTCGGCTCCATGCACAGTGCACACGACGCCTTCTGTGAAGAAGAGGAAGCCACGCCAGACGATGCCTCCTCCTCGTGTGCCTTCGCGTGCTCTTCGAGATCCGTCACGTCTTCTGGAAAAAGATTTTAGTTGTTAAGATTATATTTAAGCTAGTTAAGTTGTCAGAACTGAAAAAAAAATCGGCTAAATTCGAATTTTTATCTCGAAAATCATTTAAAATCTTAAAATCCAAGTCAAAATTAGCCTGAAATAGAGTTTTGGCTCAAAATAAGATGTAACAGTAGAATCTTGTTCTTCACTATTTGACACCCCTTTTCTCAATTCAGACGCCTCTGACCGCTGGCAGTCCGGTGTAATGTGTATGTCATGACAAGCAAAGGTCGGTGTGCGGGGGTATAGCTCAGTGGTAGAGCGCTCCCTTAGCATGGGAGAGGGCTGGGGTTCAATTCCCCATACCTCCAGAAACGTTTTTTTCTTTGATTTTGTGCCACCCTATACTTTGAACGCAATTATCTCCGCTCCTACAAGAGATATCGAAAATCTGTCAACTGATAAAATATTTGACTCAACACCAGAAACATTTTGCTACAAAAATCAAAAGAATTGGACCAAGTCTAACTAGCGAAAAGCCCAGACCTCTTGGCGCTCTTACGACCCCCAACAATAATATTTGCACAGATACACTCCCACCAAAGTTATTCTAGCGTTCCAAGAGCGGCGAGAATGAGAGAGCGGCCGCCTGTTTAATGTTCCACACTCTAATCATTAAAAATTCTCAAAAGGACCCGACGACACGGTCTTTCTTATCAATTTATATGCACACACACACATCTCGTTATCAACCTTGCTCCCTCAATTTTTCCCGGATGGAAATGTGAATGCTCTTTCTCTCTCTATCTATCTCTTTTCTTAACGCCCGCGCTCGCATAATTATTATTATGATTATCATTTTCATAATGAAATTGACGCCGACCGGCGCGGTGTCAGATCAAAGGCGCAGAGCAGCGCCGATGGCGCGAAATTAGTGTGAAGCGGCGAAATATCAAAAGGAGGTGTGAGATGTGTGCTGCATCAAAGTATCGCTTTTATAATAATTATCGTTTCGGAGGCGCTGCACCAGCAGCAGAGAGGTGGGTGCTGCAGGTGCGCGAACCCTAGGTGCTCTACGGGAACTTGTATAACTCAATTGAAACTTGGAGCAGGATTTTGAACTTAATTTAGACCGATAGCTCTTCAAAAAATCTACAAAATGATACTAAATTCAAAACTAGTACTAATCTGTGGAAAAAGTTACAAGCCAAAAAGAGAGCAGAGTGCGTTGCAGGTGCATTAATCATGGGTGCTCTACGGGAACTCTTATAAATCGTTTGAAATTGTGAGCATAGCTTTGAATTTAATTTAGTCAAATAGTGTTTCAAAAGATCTACAAAATGATATAATTTGCAAGCTTGTAGTTTTTTAGAAAAAAAAGTTAGCGGTCAAAAAGAGAGCGGGTTGAGAAAATAGGGTTAAAAAGTGCAGAGTAGTGAACTACAGGTGCGCTAACTATGGGTATCCAACGGGAAGTTGCATAACTCTATTAAAATTCAGAGCACAATTCTGAATTAAATTTAATTGAATAGCATTTTTGAAGATCTACAAAATGATATTAATTTTAAAGCTGTACCTGATTTGTGAAAATAGTTATAGGCTATAAAGAAAGTGGGTCGAGAACCCTGGACCGAAATCTTCGATTCGGTATTTATTTCATAACTTTTTTCATTCACATTTTACAATTTAGTGAGTTTTGTCATTTTGCAGCTCGAAAATTTTTCTACAGTATTCATTTTATTTTATCCAAAAATTTCAAGTTAGCGAAAAGTTATGAGTTTGCGAATCATCGGCGACGATAAGCCGTTGAGGTGCCAAACAAGAATCTTCCTTCTATGGATCATAACTTTTTTCAAAACTGAAATTTCAGAGCTAACTGAAAAGAAAACTATAAAACTTGAAAAGCTCAACATTTTGGTATAAAATTCGACTTTTTTGTCTACTGGATCAGGGCATTTTTCAATGTAATAAAATGTTTTGGTAGAGGGAGAAGGGCAGGCGCCATAAAATATCTATATGAAAATAAATTAGAGCGGTGGTGGTGGTGATTCTAGTGTCTCTCTCCCCGACCACCCCACATCATTCTGAAAACCGGTCATCATCATCAGAATCTCGGCGCCGACGACGATGCGCATCGTTTGAGCCGTCGTCGTCCGACAGTCAGAATTAGTTGCCAATTAAATAGACGTGGGGAACAAGAGGGAAAAGGTTGGGGTTGTTGGCGAGAGGGCTATTAATGAGTCAAATTGTTGAGAGGGAGGGGTGGAAAAAGGGTGAATTACCTATTACCTATGTGAATTGGAAATGAATCGGTTGGGGCGGGAGAGAGAGATGGATGATGATGAAAAAGGAGAGCGGAAGGTTGAAAATTTGATGAAAATGAGAATTATGATACTGTAGTGCAGGAGCTAATCAGCGGACAAATAAAAAAAAAGCGGGAAAGTTTTGCAGAAAAATTACTGATTCCAAAAATTTTGAGTTTGAAAGAAGCTATGGATCTTCTATTGCAAGTGAACTTTGAGCTCTATTATCTCAGTTCCTACAAGATATATCAAAAAGATGCCAACTGATAAAATGTTTATCATAATATCATCAGTATTTTTGTGGTTGACAGTTTTTTGATATCTTTTAAAAGAGCCGAGATATTTGGGTTCAAGGTTAGTGCATGATTAAAGAGTGGCGTTTTTTACGGTTTAAGACAGTACAACTGTGAAAGGGTATAACTCAATTTTCTATTCATTTTAGCAAAATTCAAAGTGCAAATTGAAAATCTACGGGTTTGAAACTGCCTAGGGGTCATAAATTTAAAAATTACCTAAATCTGCTAATTCTTTTGAATTTGAGCTAAATAAAGAATTTTCAAGTTTCCGGAAATAACATTTCTAGAATTTTCGAAATGTAAAAATTTTGGAACGAGACAAAAAATAACTGATAGTAAAATTCTTGGGGGTGAGGTGAGAATGAGAAGCTGTTAATGACCCCAGTGCTTATCAGTGATAACACTGATAAAAACTGAAAAAAAAAATATTTGACTAGGGGCTTTTCAGACTTTTTGGACTCGTAGGGACATCCTACGGCACTCCGCCTATCCCGTAGGCTGAATTTGATCTACAGAAGACTCCAAAACTCGATTTTAGATCAAAAAGGTCAAGCGGGATAGCGGATTGTAAATTGAAGCAGGCTTGGGGGTTTTGGGAATGGACAATAGGTCACTGATCGATCTCCAAGCACCCCAAAGATCCGAAAATGGGGTTTTTTTGTCCAAGTAAAGCCTTAAAACTCAAAAAAAAAACTGTAAAAACTCACTCGTTGTAAAATCGCATCCGGCACAGGCGTACGCCGCGTCCTCCATCACTTTGAAATCTGCAAAAATTATAGATTTGTTATAGAGAGTTATAGGTTTCAGAAAATTCGGAATTCCAAGCAAAAAACCTCCGAAAAGCGAGTAGAGGGGACGGGAAAGATCAGATGACGGGATCCAAAGACTCAAGGATCGAAAGACCTAAGGATCGAAAGACCCAAGACCCATGGACCCAAGACCTATGGACCCAAGACCCATTGACTCAAACTTCATGGACCCAAGACCCATGGACCCAAGACTCATGGATCCAAGACTCATGGATCCAAGACTCTTGGACCAAAGTATCAAAAACCCTAAGAACCCAAAGAGCTGAGGTCCAAAAACGCAAAAAAAAAGAGAGAGGGAACCATGGACCTATGGAACCAAGGACCCAGTGATCTAAGGAACCAAGGACCCAAGGACCCAAGAACTGCAAATTTTAGGTGCCTAGAGGTGTCGCCTAATTGCTCATCGCTCTTCTTGATTCATCAAAGGGCAAACACCGGATGGTGGGCGGAGCTTATCAATGATTACTGTAAGCGACGAGCGGCGCAAACGTTGATGATGATGATGATGATGATGATGATGATGAACGAGGAGGTGGTGAAAAATCAAAGAGAGATTAGAGAAAAAGAGAGAAAAAGGGAACCAAGAGGAGCTGTAAATAAATAGACGAAATTGAGGAGGAGCGTCGCGATTCCCTTTTTCTCTGTGCTTTCTCTGCGTCTCTCTCTCTCTCTCTCTCTCTCTCTCTAACACATCGATGGAAATTGAATTTATGGCCTTTTTTGGGGTCTTGTGTACCAACTTGATGATTATAATGATATTTTTAGGGTCGGGAAGAAGAAGGGTCGGGTCGCTTTTTCTGTATTATACAAAAGAGAAAATGGTAATTATGGGAAAAATTTTGTTTTCATCATCATTTCCTTTTCAAGAAAAGGGGCTCTCCATCCTATAATACATAATTATTATTCATGTTGACACACAACTCTTTGTACAGTCTTTTCTTCATCTTTTTGTATACAGAAATGTGAATGGGGAATGAAAAATAGTTAGTTAATTATTGGCGCTATCGTAGGCGGGAGCATGAAAAATTGCCCGTGGCCTAAAAGGGCCTAAAACAATACAAATGGACCTAATTATCGTTCAAAAACGAGTCTACAAATGATAAGAATAGTTTAACACTGGTTCAAAATTGGTAGAAATTCCTAGCTTGAAATTTCCAAAAAAACCGTCAAACAGTGAATTTTGCTCATTCTCAGAAGCTTGAAAAAAGGAGTTCAAACTTGTCCGAGTAGTTTAACATTTTCAGACTATACTAAACAAACAAAGTGCTTTATTTTTGTAATTGACAACTTTTCTGTAAAATTAGGCCCTGAGAAGATATGCCACGTGGAAGAGGGGCATCCTATTTTGGGCGCCACCACCCCCTTCTTGCGGCCAACGAGCTAGAACAAGCTTCATATTTAATGGATTAGTTTGAAAATTTCAGAGAATATGAAACAAAAATGGAGCTTCATTTTTGTAATTGACAACTTTTCTCTAAAATTAGGCCCTGATGAGATAAGCCGTTTTAAAGAGGCCCTGTGTTTTGGGCGCCACCCCTCAAGGAGGGTGGCGCCTAACAAAAAAAAAGGGGGGTGGACCTCCAGGCCGCAAGGTAGGCGAGTCTCTTCCACGTGGCATATCTCTCCATTACCTGATTTTAGGAGAAAAGTGTTAAATACAAAATTAAAGCTCTAGTTTTATTTAGTACACTCTAATGTTTTCAGACAATCCAAAAAGTCTGAAATGCCATTTTTGCACTTTAAAAATGCCTGGTTTTCACTAAATTTCTGCATTTTTGGCGCCACTCTGCAAACAAAAATCCTTGAAGAAGTACTGTATTTGGCTCTTTGATGATGTGGCTAATAAAAATAAAAGATATGTGTCATCGATTTTGAGGGAAAAAGTCAAAAATGAAGCAACGGACGGGACAGCTCTAGCCAGAGCTCCCAAATTGGCATGGGGGCTTTGCAGCACACATATCTCTAAATTTCTTGACTTGATTCGTTTAACCACTAACTAGACGTCTTCTTCTTTCCTGACGTCTTCTTTTCCTTCTTCTTCCAAAAATCCAAAACAAAGATGCGCCAAGCTCCACCCCTCCTATATACCACCAAATCAGTTCTCTTTCTCTCCTCTTCCCTTAATTCCGGCCCATTACATTAAAGAAAAAGAGAGAGAGAGAGAAACCAAGTTTTTGGTTCTTCGTTGGGTGTCAGAAACGGGGGGCCCGATCTATCCGCGGGTGTCCCCGGGGGCCAGATATCAAAGAAGATGACTCTTCGGTTCTTGGAAAATGCGCGCGGACCCTCCAAGGACTCCCCCGCCAATGAGCCAATTGCTTAATGTGCAAGATTGGCAGCTGGAGATGAGCAATCTTGAAGCGCCTCGGAGAAAAACTTTGACTAGTTAAACTTAACTCGACTGGCGCTTTTTTTGGGATTCGAGAGATTTTTTGCACTTTGGAGGGAAGTTTCAAGATTAACGAGCTTGATAGGAGGTTTGGAGGTTTTGGGGAAAACGAAAAAGTAGTGGAAGGGTAGGTTCGGGGATACGGTAACTTTGACCCTATTCATCTGGCTTCTGGTGAATAATTTCAAAAAGTGATCAACTGATAAAACGTTGTAAAAACTATGCTAAGCATTTTATCAGTTGACAACTTTTTGATATATTTTAAGGGACCTGAGATAAAATGGCTCAAAGTTAAGAGTGCCCTTCTATTAGAGGTTTATCATGGAATAGCCTAAAACAGTTCAGATACTGAAACTCAACATTTGCTTTGAAAGAGCTGACATTACAGTATTTTTTAAATAGAGCTTTAGGTCAAAAGGAGGACTTTAAAATTCAAAATTTCAACATTTCGGATTTCTTTGAATTTTTGAAATTACAATTACGATAATTCTGAATTTCGCTGAAATTGATTATCGAAATACCGATGTCTATGATTTTGAGGTCCTCTTTTTCTCTAAATTATTCGAATAACTAATTAGCGCCTAATTAGCCACTAATAAACCTCAAATTAACCAGTAGCCCTTTTAGTCTGAAGTTTTGGATTGGATTCTAAGCTACCAAGTTAGCTGAATTTCCATTTCAAAATGCTGAACTGTCGGGAAAATTAGTCTAATTAGTAAATTAGGCTCTAATTAGCCACTAATTAGGTCCTAATTTACCGGGTGATATCTAACCAATAACAAACCAATAGTTTTTTTTCTCCGAAAGACAAATTTCTCGAAAAAATGAAAATTTATGAAGCTCTTCTTTTGGGAGAAGAGTGACACATTTATTGACTGTATATACTAAAAAAAGGCAAAGTCAAATGGGCGATATTATATATTTTTATTTGGTCATCATCTCTTTTCCCTTTTCTCTCTCTCTCTCTCGCTATAAATTTCGATTCTCAAAACTTTTTTTTTTGAAAATTATTGACAAATCATCATTTCTGTAAAGAGCTAGCCAATGATTCAAAATCTACATAAAAATATATTGATGATGATGATTTTTTTCATCATCAAAAAATGGGAAAAGAGAGAGAGAGAGAGAGAGAGGAGAAAAATTATGGATGTGTATATAAGGAAATAAATGTTGTGACTTTCTTTTTCGTTCTCAAAACTAAAACTGATTCATCATGAAAAAAATGATAGGGAAATGATATATTATTTTTGGTGAAATGAATACTGAAAATTTGGGGAAGAATTTTGCGGATTTCGGGATCATGAGAAATTTGTGCCAAGTTTTGAGATTCTAAAAAAAAATGCTGAAAGTTTTAGGAGTTCCTAGGAAGTTTTAGAATTTTGTGATTTTGAAAAAAATCTGGAATTTTTGGGAATGTTCAGACAACACTGGGAATTTCAGAATTTTGTGAAAATTTTGGAATTGTTGGGATTTGGGAACAATTCTGGAAATATTCGTATTTTGAGAATATTCTGGAAATTTCGGTTTTAAGATTTTAAGACGATTTTGGAAATATTGGGATTTGAAGAAAATTCTGGCATTTTTTTTGGGATTTTTTGAAATTTCGAAAATTTGGATTTCCTAGATTTTTGTGGGACTTTTAGGAATTTAGGACATTTTGAAAATTTGGGGTTTTTTGTAAATTTTCTTTAAATTTCGAAAATTTTGAAAACTTCGGATTTCGAGATTTTTGAAATTTCAAAATTTCGGAAAATTTCCAGAATTCGGAATATTGTGAAAATTTTAAAATTTCCGAACTTTATAGAGTCTTCCAAAATTAAGAATTTTACGAAATCTTGGAACTTTTTTTTGGAAATTCGCAGAATTTTTAAATTTTTAAAAATCGGAAATTTTTTGGAAATTTTTATTTTAAGCGATTTTACGAAAATCTGAAATTCGTGAAAAAATCGGAAGTTTGGAACAAATCCCAATATCTCAAAATGTATTTTTTTTTTCGTAAATTCTTAGATTCTAAGTTCAGAGGTTCTGAATCTGAGAGATTTTAGATTTTGAAATCCTGAGATTTTGAAATTCTTGAGATTTTCAGATTTTCAGATTCTAAGGTTCCGAGGTTTCAAGATTCTTAGTTTCCTAGATTTGTGGAATCTGAATTTTTAAAAATGTGGAAACCCAAGAAAAAGCCAAAAAACTTTCCTCCATTTTGTCCACAAATCGAAACAAAGCCAAAACTTTAAAAAAAATGTCTCTGATGAGGAAATTGATCTGCCCTCGTCTTTTCCCCTGTTATGTATACCGTATGTTTGTACTGTTTTTGTGCGGGAATTGTGCGGCGGATCCCGGAGGTATCAATTTTCACCCCTCCCCCCGTTTTTTTTTGTCTTTTCCCATCCCTCTCAACCGTGAGCTGGCTAGTTGAGCAAAAGAGCCCTACCCTGGGATGAAATGAAGATAATTTCCGAATTCTCTCAATGAAATGATTAGCCAATTCATTGACCGCGCGTAGCTGGCTGCGAAAACGTTGTAAGCCGTAGATAGAGAAGCCCAAATAGAAAGAA